CTCAAAGCCCAAGAAGGAGCATAAGGATGAAGAAGGTCAGAGAGGTATGAGGTGCAAGACCGTTAATGCACTTGAATGTCAGCAGGAGAATTTTAAAATCAACTCTGACACGTACAGGAAGCCAGTGAAGAGAGTACAGAACCAGAGTAATGTGCTCAAACCTGTGAGTTCCTGTTAGTAGCCAAGCTGCTGCATTTTGTACGAGCTGGAGACGTGAAAGTGAAGCCTGACTAACCCCAACATAAAGTGAGTTACAGTAGTCCAGCCGGGAAGTAATAAATGCATGGACTAGTTTTTCAAGGTCAGATCTGGACAGAACGGACTTAAGCTATGCTATTTGCCTTAGCTGAAAGAAACTTTTTTGTAGAACAGAGTTGATCTGTTTATTAAACTTAAAGTCAGAGTCTAACACTACCCCGAGATTGGTAACTGACTGCTTTAGATGAGGCTGAAGGGAGTGCAGGTTTACAGGATCAGTGACAGTGGTAGAGCTTGGGTTAAACACAATGACCTCGGTCTTCTGATCATTAAAACTCAAGAAGTTTGCAGCCATCCAAGTCTTGATGTCATCAAGACATTTTAGCAAAGGGTGGATGGAGCAGGAACTGTTTGGTTTTAAAGGCAGATAGATCTGAGAATCATCGGCGTAACAGTGAAACAAAATACCATGTTTCCTCAGGATTGACCCCAAGGGGAGCAGATACAATGAGAACAGAAGGGGTCCAAGAATGGAGCCTTGTGGTACCCCACAGGAAAGAGGGACAGAAGCAGAAAAATGATTGTCAAAGTTAACACAGAAACTCCTGTCACCCAGATACGAACGGAACCATTCTAGCGCCACGCCTGTAATCCCAACCCAGTGTACTAGCTGTGACATAAGGATGCTGTGATCAACAGTGTCAAATGCAGCGGTAAGGTCGAGAAGTACCAGGATCACAGACTGACCAGAGTCATTTGCTAGCAGAATGTCATTACAGACCCTTACTAAAGCGGTCTCAGTGCTGTGCAGTTGTTTAAATCCTGACTGAAAAATCTCAAAAATTCCATTTACATTCAAAACCTTGGTTAGTTGACTAAAAACTATTTTCTCCAAGATTTTAGAAAGAAATAAAAGTTTTGAGACTGGCCTGAAGTTTGAACAAGCTGCAGGGTCAAGTCCGGGTTTTTTAATTAATGGCGTTACCACTGCATGCTTTAAAACATCAGGAACCACACATGTAGCCAAACTGCTGTTAATAATGGCAAGAACAGAGGGTCCAGTTGACGGTAGAACCTGTTTAAAAAATGCAGCAGGGATGGGATCAGCAGGGGAGCCTCAAGGTTTCATGTGACCAACGACCTCAATTAAAAATGAGAGTGAGATGGGGTCAAAGTGACTGAAGACTGCTGAGCAGGGGACAAGAACTGGAGGGTCGGCTGTGGAGTGTGGAATTGATGACCTAATCGACTCAACCTTTTCAGCAAAATGCCTGACAAACTTATTACAGGTGTCAACAGAGGCCTCAATGGTGGCAGACTGAGGCACGTTTAGAATGGTGTTAATGGAGTTAATGGTGTTAATGGTGCTGAAAAGAACACGGGGGTTGTGACTGTTTGAGTTGATAATTTTTGAGAAATATTTGTTTTTCTCCTGTTTAACGGTGGTCTGATAGGCTTTCCAACATGTTTTTAACATCTCAAAAGACACCTGAAGTTTATCTTTTTTCCATCGACGTTCAGCTCTTCTGCACAGGCGTCTTGCCCCTTGTGTAGTCTCATTTACCCAAGGGTGGGGCGTGCGTTTTCGATTCCTGAGTTTTAACGGGGCGACTGAGTCCAGGATCTGTACACACGCCTCCTGATGCTGAGAAAGCAACTCCTTTGTAGTAAGACCCGAAGAGAGTTCAGAGTCTGAAACAGAATTACCAGCAAAGATGGAAGAGAAGAGTGTGGCAGTGGAAGGGTTAAAAATCCTACAAGGCTTGGGTGTGGGGGGAGGTGCAGGTTCACAAATCAATGAGGTGTTGAATAAAACCGGTTTGTGGTCAGAACAAACAGTGTCACCAATTTCTAAATCAGAAACAAACAAACCATGCATTAAAACTAAGTCTAGAGTGTGGATCTGCTGGTGAGTCGGACCAACAACACTCTGAACAAAGTTAAAGGACTGGATGAGGTCTAGAAAGTCCTGAGCTAATGGTTTATCTGGGCAGCACACGTGGATATTAAAGTCTCCTAAAATCAAAACCCGATCATATTGGAGCAGAACACTAGTTAGAAAGTCAGAGAGTTCATTTAAAAACTGTTTATGGTATCCAGGGGATCTGTAAAAAATAGCACACAGAACTGGGTTGGAGCGGCCCAGCTCACAACAGAGCAGTTCAAAACTCGAATAATTAGCTGAACCATGGAGCTGTCTGCAGTGGAAATGTTTCTTAAAAACAGCCAATAATCCTCCACCACGACCAGTTGTCCTTGGAGCATTGAAAAAAGAACAATCCGGAGGCAGTAATTCCAGAAAAACACTGAACTCACAGGGCAGATCCAAGTCTCAGTGATGAAAAGAAAGTCCAGTCGGTGGCAGCAGAAAAAGTCGTTCAAAATAAAAGTTTTATTAGCCAGCGATCTGGCATTTATCAGGGCCATCCTCATAGAATCCACCACAGGAGGAGATGGTTGCAGTGTCTAGTCCAGCAGCCTCAGATTTGCAGAGTTAGACGCGCGCCTCCAGCAGGAAACACAGCCGCGCACGGGCCCAGTGTGATGATGGGATCCCGACAGCGGGACCAGACAGCGCGCCACAGGATCTGTACAGCGCCAGGAGCGGAGGTGGAAACACTCACCATCAGCTGGAGAGGATGTTTCAGAGGCAGCCAGCAGGGCTTTCAGTTTCACGAGCCGGCCAGCGCGTTTTCCACGGCGTCTGGTGCGACGTCTCCGGGGAGGCAGGTGCGCGCCTCGCTCCAGGTAAGCAGGCACGTCCACCAGCAGCGGGGGGATGGGGGGGGGGGGTCCAGAGTTACGCTCATAATGATCAAAATAAGCGACATTGGTGCCACAAGGTCGAAGATCCAAAAGTTGTTTTCGTTCATACATCAGCAGAGCGTTGATGTCACAGATGAGAAATGAAAAAAACACCAAAAATATGAACACCATCAGCAGAGGTGGATTGCAAGCCATGTACACAGGCGCCATCTTACCGTAAGTAAGTAAGTAACTTCCAAAAAAATTCAATCTGGTCCTCTGGACATTCAAAAAAACAAAACAAAGCAAAAAAAATATAGAAACGTTTCGTCTCTCATCCAAGAGACTTCTTCAGTCTGAGGTGCTGTTTTCAGCTCAGTCTTTTAAATAGCACCTACTCAGAGTGGATCAACCAGTTTGCTGCTGACAACCAAAACCAGCTGATCACATGGTCAAGAAGGACCATCAGCCTAACAATGGATCATTAGCAAGGGTCTAGTTCCAAGACCCCAGCCGCGCGTAATCATGAAGGCCCGACCCGTGCAGACAGGCGGACAGAGACGGGTCTGCGACGAACGGTGGAAGCGATTTTAAAAAACATTTTATGTGTAAAGAAATAATAATAATTTTTAAATTGCTTCAGCAATTTTTTTAAAACATTTTTTGTATAAAAACAAAATATTATTTCATTTAAAAATCGCTTCCACCGTCCGTCCCAGACTGTCCAGTCCGCCTGACTGCCGAGCGGGATCGGGATTCAGCCTTCATGATTACGTGCGGCCGGGGTCTCGCAACGGCCTTCTGCGAGTTCCCATCTCCAGCATCGCAGTGACCAGCGTAGCTCTGAGCACACAAGGCTGGTATCCGGAACCCGAGCCTCCGAGTCAGCACATCAAAGGATTTTCCGCTGTGACCAGCGGAACTCTGAGCCGGGGAGATGACGCCCTGCCCGGCCTGGCGCTCCGAGGCTCCGGGGGGAGGATCGGGTTAGACCAGCAGAGCTCCATCCAGCTTGCTTTGAATTATGTTGTCGGCCACCCAGCACAAAAAATGCCAGCACATCAACATTAGACCAAGATGTTGTCAGTATTGTTTTTAAAATCTTTAAAATAAGTCCAGCCGCTGCTCCAGTCCGAGAAATTGCAAATGGCGGATCATTGTTTTGAAAAGTTTCTGAAGGATCCAGTGACTCCGCCCCTGACTACGCCCCCGACCAATCAGTGACCGACAGTGTTCTGACGTCACGTTTTAGTACCTCTTCGTTCGGGTTAGAACCACAGAGCCAAGGGTACTGAAAATAGTAACAGGTGCCAAGTACCAGTACTAATGGAATAGCCTCAGAACCGGGCCAAGTAGGGTCCAGTCGGCCCGTACCGGTACTAATGGAAAAGGGGCATAAGAAGAAGATCTTTTTATGGAAACATACACTGATGACATATAGCACTCATATTATGACTCAAGTGATGAGCTAAAGGCTAGTCTGAACACAGATAAAACCAGTTGCCATCTTGAAACCGGTTCATGTGCACACTGCCATCCGTCATCACACATAGTTAGGAATGAGCCCAGGCTGCAAAGGAAGTGCTACAGTTAGCTGCTGCAGATCACTAGAAAATGTAAAGTATTGCCTGCCTCCTTTAATGTTCCCCTAAGGAAGGGGGACGCCCCACCCTGGACATGGTCACCACAGGATAAGTGGCTTCGAACTAACATAGCACTCCCCCAGTCCTCCCACCTTCACCCCACACCGTACCTGGACCAAGGTCAGTAATCTGAGGGAAACACTGGTGTTGGAGCTCAGACTGGGATCAAACCAGCACTCGGTGTGTTTTGGTAATGACTTTCAGCTACTACCATGCTAATGTGTGGGTGGCTCAGAGTTCATCAGGTGTACATGAACATCCAATAGTTGATGAGATATTTTACTGACAGACCTCCACCTTGTTCAGAGAGCTGTCCAGCAGGCAGATGTTAATCATCTGGATTCAGGGGTCCAACAGAAGCAAGCGGGTTCTGATTCGGCATTAATCCTTTGGTTCTTTTTTTGCTGTGAACAGGCTCATTTGGTCCTGGGTTGATAACCCCGTGTTGTTACTGGTTCTGGTGCAGCAGCCATGGCAGAGGCTGGAGCCCACCTCACCTCCACAGCTATCACGGAGCAGCCTTCCGTGTTTGAAGTTCTGGCTCAGGAGTCCCTAATGGAGGCGATCCGACCGGCGCTCAGGCACACCGTCAAGGTGAGCGTGGTTCTTCCTTATAATAATAATAATAATAATCATCATCATTTTATTTAAAAAGCGCCTTTCATGACACCTAAGGACAATTTACAGTAAGAACAAAGATCAACAGGAATAAATTACATAAAGAATATAAAATACATACAGAATATAAAATGCATAAGGAATATAAAATACATTGAACAAAGTTAAGGATAAGCGAGTCTAAAGAGATGTGTTTTCAGAGCAGTTTTGAGTATAGAAAGAGAGGTGGTGTTTCTTAAGTCAAGGGGTAGAGAGTTCCAGAGATGAGGAGCAGAGCAGGTGAAGACCCTGCTCCTCATGGTGGAGAGGCGGGCAGAGGGTACATGGAGGTGTAGTGAAGAGGAGGATCTGAGAGAGCGAGAGGGGATGGAGATGTGTAGGAGGTCAGATAGGTACGGAGGGGCAAGGTTGTGGATAGCTTTGAAAGTGAGAAGAAGCATATTGAAGACGATGCGTGATTTTACCGGGAGCCAGTGGAGCTGCTGCAGGACAGGAGTGATGTGGTTATAGGAGGAGGTTTGAGTGATGACACGGGCAGCTGAGTTCTGGACCAATTGGAGCTTCTGGAGAGATTTTTTGGGGAGGCCATAAAGAAGGGAGTTGCAGTAGTCAATCCGAGAAGTCACAAGACTGTGAACAAGGATGGCTGTGGAGCGGGGTGTGAGAGAAGGGCGGAGACGGTTAATATTTCGGAGATGGAAATAGGCAGACCGAGTGACATTGTTGATGTGTGAAGTGAAGGAGAGAGTGGTGTCAAGGGTGACACCAAGACTCTTGACCTGAGGCGAGGGGGGTAGCAGAGAGTTGTTAAGGGGGATGAGAAGATTTTCTGATTTTGAAAGAGAGTTTTTGGTACCGACAAGAATGATTTCTGTTTTGTTACTGTTTAGTTGTAGGAAGTTGTTAGAAAACCAGTGATTTAGCTCATTGAGACAGTCGGTGAGGATGGAGGGTGGGTGGGTGGAGTTTGGTTTTGTTGACAGGTAGAGCTGTGCGTCATCAGCATAACAGTGAAAATGGACACCAAATTTACGGAAGATGTGACCTAGAGAAAGGAGGTAAGTGATGAAGAGGAGGGGTCCAAGGACAGAGCCTTGGGGGACACCTGTGGAGACGGGGGAAGACTGGGAACAAAAGGATTTGAGCTGAATGAACTGAGTGCGGTCAGAGAGATATGATTCCTTCAGATGCTTTGATCTCCAGAATAACTCCATGCTCCGACTGCCCAACAGGTTCTCGCTGAGTCCAACCCATCTCGCTACAGCTTCCTGTGGAGACGTTTTGATGAGCTCTACCTGCTGCTGGACCTCCTCCTCCAGAACCATTTCCTGTTCCACTGCAGCGCCTCGTTCTCAGAGAACTTTTACGGCCTGAAGAGAGTTTCAGGCGTGCTGGGACTTCCTGTTAACTGGAGTCTGCACAGGAAGTCCCACTGGCACTCTCTTCTTCTCCTCTGCCTGGTTCCATACCTGCAGATCAAGCTGGAGGCGACGCTGGCCCGACAGAGGGACGAGGAGGACTTCTCCATCAGGTTGGCTCAGACCTGGAGGCAGAGGCTGCATGGCACGGCTGTGGCAGCATACCCATATGCCAGCTTGGCGTGGTGGGCCTGGATCTTGTGCCAGCAGCTGCTGTTTGTGTTTGGGCTCTCTGGGAGCCACAGCCCCCTGCTGTGGCTGCTTAACATCAGGCTGGCTCGACTCAACGCTCAGGACCTCAGAGACATGGAGCAGAGAGCCAGAACCACCACCGATCCGGCTGGCAGCAGGTGCCACACCTTCTTTTTCTTTACAGTCACCAACAAAACTTTATTTGTACAAAACGTTAAATTCCACCCAGCAGAGACGACCAGTTTAAACGTTACAACCAGTTTAAATGTCAAAGTAAAAATGAGTTGCTTGTTTAAAGCAGCTGCCTCATTTCACAACTCGCTTCATGACTCAAAGTAAAGATTCAGTGGTGCTTGAAAGTTTGTGAACTCTATAATTTTCTATATTTCTGCATCAATATGACCTAGAACATCATCAGGTTCCCACACAAGTCCTAAAAGTAGATAAAGAGAACTCGGTTGAACAAATGGTACAAAATATTCAACTTGGTCGTTTATTTATTGAGGAAAATGATCCAGTATTACACATCTGCTGTGGTACCTGCCGACATGAGGCCCCGCTGATTTGTCTTCTTCTTGTTTGCAGCCTGCTGCAGAGGACCTGGTGGCTGTTGTCCCAAGCAGCGAGGGGGACAGCAGTGTCCCTATCCACCTCTCTGTCTCTGGTTGTCTTCTTCTTGCAGTTTCTGGACTGGTGGTACTCCACAGAGAACCAGAGCACGATGAAAACCCTCACCTCCCTGCCTGCTCCTCCTCCCCCCCTCCACCTCCAGGAGCTTCAGCAGGGTGCTGGCTGCAGGACATGTCCTCTGTGCCGTAAGTCGTGGACAAACACCACGGTGCTGTCCACGTCCGGCTTCGTCTTCTGTTATCGCTGCGTCTACATGTACGTGAAAGCCAACCGCCGCTGCCCACTCACCAGGTTTCCCTCCGAACTGCATCATCTGATCAAGATCTACACCCCGGAGACTTAAGAGATAGTGTAGAGGCAGGGCAGCCGGCTTGGGACCCGAAAGTCCCAGGCTCGATCCCCAGTCACTGCATATCACGTGGTGTCTCTGGGCAGCACACCTCATCCCCAAAATGCCCCCCGGGCGCTTTCAATAGCTGCCCACTGCACCACATGGTGGTGGATGGGTTAAATGCAGACTAATTTCGCCATTGTATGGAAACATACAGTGCTGACATTGTGATGACATTATTATTATTATTATTATTATTATTATTATGATTATTATTAAGAGACTAGCTGAACGCCACTCACCTGTTGGTCATACCTGGAACTACGGCCCCGACGGGCTGACGGCTTTTAGGACAGATTACGGTTTATTTTGTATTTATGAAATATAAATGGACTGTTTGATTTAGAGAAATAATCATCTGGTGCTACTTTTTCACCATGTGCCAATAAATATTTTTATAAAATCAGTTCTCTACTGTGTTTCTTGTTTGTAAACGTTAGTTTCTCTTATTTTCTCAATTTTCAAACTTCCCATGTTCAGTTTTGTCTGTTGTATGTAGTTGCTCTCTGCTTCTCAAGCATGCAGCATGGAAATGACTTGAAAGTAGTCCACATGCGCCCTCTGCTGGATACATTCTACAATTACGCCATTTGCAAGTAAGGAAGCAGTTAGTTTGTGCCCAGCATTTTAGGAGTGAAAATTAAAAGTGTTCATTTCAGTGCATAATGGGCCAATTATCAACAATACAGCTATGCCCCCAAACACCTATATCGGCCTAAAATATTAACCCTATCAATGTACTGGTCGGGCTCTAGTGGTTCCTGTGAAATGTTATTGAAATGATTCCTGAGTCTTGTTCATACTGTGTTAATGCTACATGTTTGTCTCTTGACCCTACAACTGGGTAAGGTTACAGTAGACCTAGCCCACTACCAGAGTTTTAATTGGGTATTTTAAGCTACTAATGAACACAATGGATGGTTATCATATTGTTTGTAGGTTAGACCATTGGTAAGAAGTACTATATTGTCATTTCATATTGGCTAGTGATTTTTTTCCCTAAAAGTTAGCTTAGGCTACACTACATTTCTAAGACTGTGGCTAGAAAGGACTAAGTTAGCCTACTTTATATGTAGGCCTACCTAATGGTTATTTTTTAAGGTTAGCCCATTTTAGGCTATATTTATTTTTACGATAATAGACCCACAGCCACAGTAAGGGTAAGGGAATGTAAAACAACCCTGAGCCTGAGGGTCCTACCCCAGAGAATTTTGGATAAAGTAGATGCCATTTCCTACATTCTGGTGTATTTTACAAAGTTTATTACAGTAGATTAACATAAAACAAAAGATGTAAACTCATTATTGTAATGACTGAAAAGCATTCGTAATGCAAAACCGCTGCAGCTCTGCAGGTAAGGGGCGTTCACTTCAGGACAAATTAAGGTTGCTGATTTGTCAGTTGCTTAATTGTCAGTTATAAACATCAACATAAAAAAAAATTAAAGCTGCAAGCAGCATTGGAGGGCCCTCGCAGCAAAGCGCCGCTCCGGCCTTACAGCGACCGCGGGAGCTTCAGCTAGTCCACCCAGTCGCCATCGCGAACACTCTCGTGCCAATCCCACATGCGTTCGCCACGGGGCGCATTTCCCGAATCTTCCACATCGCCTTCCGTCCATGTCGTTACTTGTCCAGCTGCAGGTCTTACAAGTATAGGTGAAATCCGACCTTCCAGACACAAGTTATTGTGACTTGCTGTTTTGTGACGAATGTTTGACGAGCACTTCCTTTATGCTTTTCAACATGTCATGTGTGGTAATCAACAGTCAACAAAGTTTCAGTCCAATATCTTACACAGTGCGAAGCTGGAAGAGTCATCCAGTAATCAACATTTTTTTCTCTGAGTAGGTGGGGCTTAAGCAATGTCATGAATCAAAAATACCAATGGGTCTAGAAGTGCTCACTGATTACGCACAATAAATCTGGTGCAGATCAGATGATGCATCACTGAGATATAACTGTAGGAATAATATAGGAGGCGCTGTGGAGGCTATTGGCCACTTATCAGGGATTCCTGCTCAAAGAGTGGATAATGATTGATCAAACTGATTTTGGTGCACCTCAGTTCAAATCTGTGGAATTTATAGCCAAACGTATTGCAACAGCGTCACTTCTGAATTCGTCATGCCGCCACGCCCACATCCTTCTTCGAAAACTGTTTGTAATTTAACGTAAGTCAGACCAACTTGTTATATGTCTTGTAACACAGGATCATCCTGATTAGGTCAAGGATGTCAGAGAGGGAGCTTTCCAGGTAAAAAAGTGACTTCCTGTTCTGAGGGGGCGGGGCTTTGATGGTGTCAGAATATGACCCCAGAGAATCGTCGAGTATCCAACAGGGATGACTCATGCCAAGTTTTGTGTATTTCGGTTTTTCACTGTGAAAGTTAGTGTTTGGAAATTAACGGCGTGAAGCACAACTTTGAGGCCTGGCCACGCCCCTTTAACATATACGAAAACACAAGTTTTTGACAACTTTTACTCCCCAATGTGTTAAGGGCATATTAACCAAGTTTGAAGGCAATCCTTCAAAATCCCTAGGAGGAGTTTGTTAAAATTCACAATTAGAAACACCCAAAAATGACCCTTTGACCCAAAATGGCCGACATCCTATTGGTTTTGAACCAGGGCTCCAAGAGACTTTTTCATAGGTCCTAAGAAGATACAGATGTTCGAGTTTCAGAAATATCGGTCCAAAAATGGCTTGGGGCTGAGGTTTTAAAATATTCTTGGGGGCACTGTGGAGGCTATTGGCCAATTATCATGGATTCCTGTTCAAGGGGTGGATAATGATCGATCATACTGATTTTGGTGCACCTTTGTTCAAAGCTGTGGAATTTAGAACCAAACGTATGGCGACGGCGTTATGGCTTACTTCGCCACGCCGCGCTTCCCACATGCTCCACCCAAAACTGTCAGTGTTAGAAAGCAAGTTAAACCATCATGTCTTTGGTCACTGGACACACTATCATGCTGATTAGGTAACGAGTCAGGTAGGGACCGTTCAACGTAAAACTTTACACTTCCTGTTGTCAGGGGGCGTGGCTTAATTTATTTCATAATTTGACCATTCATTCTTGCAGGGGATCAGATGTGGATCAATCACTGAATGTTTGATGTCCCAGACAGTTTTCAATTAGGAGATATTAGTGTTTTGTTTTTCATGGCGAGATGTCAAACTTTGAGGTCTGGCCCCGCCCCTTCAGCATGCTCCAAAACAAACCGTTTAGATAACTTTTTGTCCCCTATGCCTTTTGAACAAAATGGCCAAGTTTGAAACAGAATGAGCGAAATCCCTAGGACGAGTTCATTTAAATGTGGAGGCTGTAAACCTTCAAAAAGGTGTGAAATTTGGGACAGCATTCCAAAATGGCCGCCTTCTTGTTTATTGTATAATATTGGTGCCAGAGGGTTTTCTGTGTATCTTGGGGAATTGGACAAGTGTACCAAATTTTATGCTTCTACGACAAACTAAGGTTAACGCGGAAGGTATTTTGAAAATTTCCAGGTGGCGCTCTTGAGCCATTTCTGTTGCGATTTTTGTAACGCCCTTTTAATACGTAATTTTTCAGCAGTTGGTTTCAAACTTGGCTATTTTGGTCAAAAGGCATAGGGGACGAAAGTGGTAAGATGGCACCTTTGTTTGGCTTGGCCTCTGCCAGGTTGTTTGCTTACTTCATATGTTATTTTATTGTTATATTTCTGTCTGGAGTGGCTTCCTTGCGGACATATGACCGTCACTCGCTACTGGCGATCAAGTCTGTGATGGTCAACCTTCAGTGTCATAAAAACAGAGTTACATTTTCACCACCGCTGAAACCCAGTGTCCCTCCCGGCATCTCTTCTCTCTTACCTGTGGATCCGCCCCTGCTCTGGACATGCAGACGAAGGAAGCGGGGGAAGAGAGCCGTCTTCTTCGTGCTGCTCCATCGGTTTCGGAAAAACGAGGCAGCAGCCTCGTTTTTCGGCCAGGCGATTCAACCTCAGATATGTTGGTGCTGGACTAGTTCAAACGCTCCCAGAAGTTTCCCACACAGGTTGTCACCTGAAGCTGTGGGCATCCAAAGTTCACCGCGGGAGGAATCCTGACTCACTTCGCAGCTTGCCACGTCATCCTGATGCCGCTGTGGACCCCTCTACACGGTCAGCAGCTTTCTCCACTAAAATGTTGGTAATTAATTCACACTCTATTGCCAATAAGTCCTTCATTTTAAATGACTTGTTTTGCTCTGAGAGCTTAGACTTTTTGTTTATTTCTGAGACATGGCAGCGTGCAAATGATGTTTCACATCTCCTGGAACTCTGTCCTGAGGGGTGTTCTTTTTTATCTGCACCACAGATGACAGGCCGTGGAGGTGGCACTGCTGTAATCTATAAAAGGACTTTTTTATGTCAAATGATCACTTCATCTACTTACAACTCCTTTGAGATGATCATGGTCCGAATAGGCAAAGTTGAGTCTATATATGGCATCCTGTTTTATCGACCACCTGAACCTGCTTCATCTTTTCTTTTAGACTTTCAGGACTTTTTATCTTCTACAGTGAAGCTAAATAGGATCATCATCTCTGGAGATTTTAATTTCCATGTCGATGATCCAACAAGCCATCCTGCTATGGACTTTCTTAATATTATGGACTCTTAACTTCTCACAGCATGTGTCTGAGCCTACTCACACTGCAGGCCACACTTTAGACCTGGTTTTTACTTATGGACTCACTCTTAATAATCTACATATAAAAGATGTTGTTTTCAGTGACCATAAGGTTGTCTCTTTTAATATTTACTGTTATTTGGAGACTTTTTCTCAGGTTACCTGTAAGCGCAGATGCTTTATTGACAATTTTGTAGTCGCAGAGTTTTCTTCCCTCTTTTCATTTACAATACCTCCTGATGATGATGATGATGTGGAGCTTCTGGTTGACTCTTAATGATCACTGCCTTACTATTCTTGACAGTATTGCTCCTTACAAAACCCACTGTGGGCCCGTTTACCGCTGTTCACCTTAGT